TCCTAATTCTAAAAGGGTCTTAGAAGCAATTTTATGACTTAATACCTTTAATGTGAAAGCATTTTTATCTATTCCAAAACCTAACCACTGTTAGGCTAAGAATTATTTAACTACAAATCATTTAAGTAAATATCAAGGTCTTAAAAAGTGACTTGGAAATTAGACATTACACGTTAGCTATGTTGAATGTCTACACTGTCCAATAGACTTTTGAATATTCATGAGTAAGTTAGGAAGAACCAGGTCCCTCTGTTCTAACTTACATATAAGTGAGGTCAAAGCTAAGTATTGTTGTTAGGTGCCAGTGAGTCAGTTCCAACTGAGAGTGACCCTATGTGCAAAGAACAAAGCACTGCAACTTCCTCAAAATGGTTCGTATGTTTGAGTCCATTGTTGTAGCCCCTGTTGTCAGTCCATCTTGGCAAGGGTCTTCCTCTTTTTCGCTGTCCCTCTGTTTTACCAAGGGGCAGATAAGTATTAGAGCATTGAATTCAGGAATAGTTATTATTAGTATTGAGAAGTAAGTATTTGAGTGTTGCATGAAGGAGTGTCTGGATAGGTGTTAGTTTCACCAGTTTAAAATGCAATCTTCACTTATCGCTTGACATTATCTAATACCAGTTTTCCTCCTGATTAGTGCAGACCACTGAGGATTAATAGGAGCTCTAGTCAAATACCAGTTTTCTCGCTTGTCTTTCTCTTTGTAAAAATTTACAGCTTTGTTTCGAGAATGGCTTGGCGGCAATGCTGCAGTCACACATCTGTCTTCTGAGTTGGCAGTCAACTGAAGCTGCGGCAATTCCCGCTCTTCTGGGACCACTTAGGACAGAGTTGGCAATCCATCTCAGCCAATTTGTTATTCGTTTTAGATCTATGGAGTTACTTTTCTTGGGGAGGATGTGGAGGTGAAGGAGAAGTGTTTTGTTGTCTTCATATATCAAACCATTGTTGTGTCGGTTAATATTTATCAAACACCACAATGGAGCAACAGACCGTGGAAAATCTTGTACTTTTCATTATTTTAATGTTCAGTTGAATGGTTTGCTTCAGTCATAAAGTGCCTCAAAGTTTCAAGTTTAAAAATCTGTTTCACCTGTAATCACTGCACTCTCTTCTGGGGTAAAAACAAACGCTAAACTAGTTACCATGGAGGTGACTCCACCTCCTCCCTGTGTGCAGAATAGAACTGGACTTCACAGGGTTTTCAAGGCCGTGACCTTGTAGAAGCAGATCACCAGGCTTTGTTTTCAGAGGAGCTGGAATGACCAAATTTCCCATTGCCACTAAGGACTCCTATATCGCGTAAAAGCTGCTCACAATATGTAGATGGCAATTGAGGACAGAAAGAATCTTTAGGGTAACAAAAAATTCTGTCATGGTTACTGTGGTACAGCCCTCCTCACCTGTCAACATGATTAGGTTCCAAAAACCAGGTCATTTTGCAAAAATTGGCATTATATAAAAATGGAGGCTATACCAGATCATGAGTTAGTTTATTGCGCCAACCTGGCTGATAAACACAAGTGGTGTTAATTGAAGGGCAGAGGGATAAATGGCTTGGTGAGCCTCACCTTTTGAGTTCCTGGGTCTCTTGCTTTGAGATGGTCGGACCAGGGAGCAGCTGCCTTAGCCAGTTCCCTGCTTCAGCTGGCAAGGCTCACTTCCTGCAAGACATCCCCGAGGAGAAGCCACATGGACCTACCCAGATGCAGCCCTGGGTGCTGGAGCAGCGGTGTGGAGACCCCTGCCAGCGCTGAGTTGCTTACACATTCACTGACTCGGCTTTCCTCCTGTAGTCGGCATCATTGCATCTGTTTTGTGAGATGGAGGAGGACTTTGTGGATTGGTGTTGGACATATGGGTTAATGGGTTAATGTTGGACTTGTGGGCTTAGGCAGCACTGGGTTGGGATGTTTTCTTGATGCACTCTTAACCTTTATATTACACTCTCTCTTATACATGAGTTTCTGTGGATTTGTTTCTCCAAAGTACCCAGACTAATATAGATCACAAAATGGAGAATGAGTATATCATTACATACATATGTAACTGCCAAAGCACATTATTGCATAATGGCCGAACTACTGAGGGGCACAGCCTAGCCAAATTGACACATCTCTTAACCATCACAACCAGCATTAGTCTCATCTAGTACCTCTGTGTTCATCAATATAAAAAATAATCCAATAGTAGATTTTTTATTGTTGTCGTAAATGTGAAATATCAGAACTGTTGGCTAAAATTGATAAATGAAGAGTAGGTGTATTTCCAAAATTGTACAACTCCATTAGTGCTGGGCTGGATATTCATGTATTCATGAGCACTTAAAAAAAACGCATTTTCCATTGTCTAATGTGAAAGCAAAATGCTTTCAGGATAATTTTGGAGATGTAACTTTGTGTGCTATTTCATAATCATACTTCATTTCTATTCAGTGTTAATATTTCTTGTTTGAGGGGATTTTTTCATTTAAATTATTGTGTTTTTAAAAAAAACTTGCATCTAGATAAGAACTTCTTTTGCGTTTTTATTACTCTATTTTGTTTTGCAAATAATGCATTCATGTAAGTGAGATCTGCATACACAACATGCAGAAATGACAAAAAGGTTTGAACAGTTTTAGCATAGCGCACCTACCCATACCCATACTGTGGCCTCAGTCACCCTCATTCAGTAGTCCAAAAATGTTACTTATGATCATATTTGTATAATAAAAGTATAAATAAGCCCATGGTCAAGAAGTCATGGATCAGGCTTGCAAGTACTCCAGTAACAGGAAAATGAATAATTGAAACTGTGCATTTGTTTCTATTCATCTAATTTGATAATTATATTCCCATCACATTGAGCCAATTGGAACCCCGAACTTACTGAAGCCTGTCCACAAATCATGTGCTTCATAGCAGGCAGCTAAAAGCCTGGATTCATTCCGGGTGGACATAATTATTACAGTGCTCTTCTGACTCTGGCTTTTAATTGTAGAGTAAACAAAGCAGAAGTGATACACCATCTCTCTTGGCTCTCCACAGTTGGGTGCTAAAACCTTCCACAAATAATCTTACATAAAACCATTAGGCCTGTTTATTTCATAGTTACATTATGTCTTATTAACAGCAATGTCTTTAATTAGTATAAGTCACCTTAGTCATGTGCTTGCCTGGATATAAAAAGACACTTGCTTCTGTCCAGTTCACTTTTGAATTTTGTCATCTCTTTACTTCAACCAACTAGTTATCGATTATATTCGCACCTTCTTTTCAGTTTGTCAGTTGCTATCTAAGGACCCATTAGAATCATGGTGGGCAGCAATTAAAGACAAGTCCCTACGCTGCCAGCTTCAAACTGAAAGTCATTGCAAAGACAACAGAAAGCAGTGAGAGAGTTTGAAGTTGAAGAGTTGTCCTTTTGCCAACAGAGAAAGAATAAGAATTTTAATGAATAAAAAATGTACAGAATACATCATTTCTTAAAGGGAGTGAAAAAAAATCAAGCCATCTCTACTTGCTGTTCAAATCAAAGTGAAGTTTCTGTCAAATACAAGAGGAAGCCCACATTTCACCTGTCTCTCTTGACTGGTGAAGAGGAGCGTCTCTGCCCGAGAATGAGAACCCCTGTGGGCCAGCCAGGAGCCCTGGTGGGGTACGGGTTACACCAGGGGCTGCTAGCCAGCCGCTCCTCTGGAGAACCATGAGGCTTTCTACTCTGCAAAAGGATTGCCTTCGCAAGAACCCATGGGGGCAGTTCTACCCTGTTAATGGGGTGGCTATTAACTCGCTGGCAGTTCACTTATTTTGGGGAGGCCAGCAACTTCTGGATGAGTGGGAGCTGAAACGTATGCAGATTTGTCGAAGACATCATTGCACTCAGTATCTCTGCAGTGGACGTGGTCGATACAGACAGGATTCCATGTCTTTCACCATTCCAGCCACCAGGACTGTAGTTGCTTCCGGTATAGAAACTAGCCTAGACAACCACTGGGCACCAAAGGGCTTGCTTCACTTCAGTTCCTGGTTGCAGTGCAAGTAGGGTGAAATTAGACTTGCCTTTGTTCAAGTCTTTTGTTTCTCTGGCTAGGTGTATCCCTAAGCATTTTATCTTTTATGTCACCATTGTAAATGGCATTGCTTTCTGAATTTCTTTTATTTTGTTTATATACAGGAATCTAATTGATTTTTGTATGTTGATCTTGTACCAGGTTGCCAAAGTTTATATTATTTCCAATAATTTTTCTTCTCAGGTCTTTGGGGTTTTCTACATGTATACGCGTATCAACTGCAAATACAGGGACTTTGTACTTCCTTGCCAGTCTAGATGCCCTTGGTTTCTTTCTGTCACCTCATAGCTCTAGCTAAGGCTTCCAGTACAGGGTTGAATAAGAGTGTTGATAAAAGACATCTTTGCCTGGTCCCTTTTCGAAAGGAGAATGCTTTCAATTTCTTCCCATTGATTGGCACGTTGGGCCATTGGTTTTGTGTATATGGTCTTTATGATGTTGAAGAACTTCCTCCTCTTCCATTTCTATTTTGCTGAGCATGTCTATGATGCTTTTCAAGAGAGTTACCATGCCTCATAGAAAACTGACCACCAGTATGGTTATTCGTTGTGTTGAGAAGATGTGAGAAAACAGTGCCAAGGCACCATATTTGTTATCCTCTGCCTACGCAAGGGCAAAGGAGACTCCAACTCCTCACCGGTCCAAGGCCTATTGCCAGGAAGCAGAGGTCAGACATGCCTTCACCCTGCATTCTTTTAGGCTATTTTGACTCCAGCCCTTCCTCCCAGGACACTTGACTTTATTGCTAGGCTCAATAATTCGTTGTAATGGCCACACAGACAATACTCTATGAGTGAAGGAGTTTATTAGAGAAATTAACTGGTTACCACAAACCAGGATCAGAAAACATTAAGGATACAGCCATTGGCCACAGCCAACCTCTTGTGTTGTAGAGTATATTATGATACTTCTGATATTTGAGAAGCAAATGCTCTTTATCTTCCAGGAATGTGGGAGCAGCAACACTAAGATGCCTTTGTGAGCCTCCTCAGCGTATCCAAGGTAGGACCTCACTTGCTTCTTCTCATTGCAGTTAATTGAAAGCTATTTTCTGTCTTTCCATTGTTCATGCGTCATCTTCTCATCTCTGCTACCCTTTACGGACAAAATAAATTCATTGTCACATCTTTGCCCCGCGGTTCTAAACTATTTCTTGTAGGTTACATTAGGATATCTTTGGTTCCTGTTGAGAGATTATGTGATGGTTGGTATTTTCAGAATTCCACTCCTAAACTTCCTTTTATTGTGTGTAAATTCAGATTTGAAATACATTCAATACAGCCACAAAATTAGATTTTTCACTAATCCTACTTATTTCGTTTTGTGTCCAATCGAGTTTCCTCAAGTGGGACCCCCCCAGATGAATTCTATGTGACATGTTTTAAAACACCCCAAATAGCAGAATTCATATTGTTTGCAAGAAAGATGGATTTTTCTCCGAAGCAATTTCCTTCCTGCTAGTAACTGAAAATCCTAAGTGCACTGGAGTCTTGATGTAATGCTGCCTTGGGGCCCGTGCCCTCTGTTCCCTTCATATATAAAAGAGCCTGGTGAGATTTCACCAATCCAACCTCCTCGCGTGCCACTCAGGCCATTCTTCTCCAGAGCACTTCAGGATTTGAAAGAATAATAGTGTCGACTATTCACTGAGCATTGCACTCACTGCCATGGAGACCAGTTCAGTTTATAGAGCCCCAATCGGACAGGACAGAACTGCTCCGTGGGTTTCTCAGATTGTAACTCTTTACGGAAGTAGAAAGCCTCTTCTTTCTCTCTCGGGGATGCTGGTGGTTTTGAATTGCTGACCTTTCAGTTAGCAGCCCAATGTGTAACCACCGTGCCACCCAAACCAGAAACCCAAACTCGCTGACGTCGAGTTGACGCTGGCTCATAGTGACCCTATAGGACATGGTAGAACTGCTCCTGTGAGTTTCCAAGACTAAAGCTTCTTTCTCCCATGGAACGGCTGCTGGTTTCGAATGAGCTTGCAGTTAGTAGTAGCCCAACATGTAACCACTGTGCTAACAGGGCTCCGACTTCGCTCAACATAGTACTTTTTAATTTAAAGTTTCACCGTATTTGACAAATAGGTGCAGAGTAACAGAAAATGGGCTGTGTTCGATGGGATTCTAAAGATATGGGTTCTAGTATTCTCATTACTGTTGGTCTTTAAGAAGTAATGTAACCTCTCTTGAACATTATTTAGCCACTTCATCCCAGTGTAATTTTAGTTGTGAATGAAGTAATAATATCCATAAATGAAAGCTGTTGCTATTGCATAGAACCGAGCACTATGGGCTTTTCTTAGCTCTTAATCTTTACGAAACCAGATCACCAAGCCTTTCTTGCATGGTGCCACTGAGTAGGTTTGAACCACCAACCTTTTAGTTCAAAGTCTTGTGTGCCATTCAGGAAACCTTTGGTTGGAGCCTCGTGGCATAGAGGATTACAGTTCAAAAACCACCTTGGGAGAAAGATGAGACTTTGTGCTCCCAGGAAGATTTTCAGTCTCGGAAACTCACATGGGCATTTCTACCGGGTCACTATGAGTCAGAATCGACTCGATGGCAGTGCATTTTTGGTAGTGCACATAGGCATTTGGAAAAATTGAGTACTAGATAATTGGAAAGTGTTCTTTTAGGTGAAAAGGCAAACCCAAGAGTAGTTGTGACTCTAAATACAAAGGCACTGTGTAGGAGGTAGGAGGAGTGTAAAGGAAGAGAAGCAAAGTCTTTGGTTGACTTCCTGAAAGAGATTTGAAATGAGTCTAATGTAATAAGTAACATTTCTTTTTTTTTTTTTAGAATGACAATTTAAGGACTACTTAAGATGCAATAATGCTACTACCTTGTCTCCCCCTCCCAGAATTCAGGACACTTTCACTCTCTTTTCTTTTGATATTCATCCTGGATAGGTACTCTTTATTGATTTCATGTGAAGGGTAGGGCACTACAGATGCAGAGTATCTTGTTAACTAACACCTTACCGATCTTTGACAGGGCCAGTGTAGGAATTCTCATGACAGAGATGAGAACTTGGCACATCTCTAGAAACATTTCCCTTTCCATCAGATCAAAATTAGCACCATGAATTCAATGACTTCTCTTCTGAGTGCTACTTTAATTTTAATAAGCTGGTATCTTCATCAAGGTTGCTATTGATTAGTGGAAAGGTAGTGTGTGTTTTTTATCTTTATGGTTTTGTCTCTTTTTTTTTGAGTGAGAGATAACCCCTTGTTATATTGAGCTCCTGACAGTTTAAATTTTTAAGAGGTTGTTTTAAAAATTCCTTTCCACCCTTAGTTTTAGTTTATATTGTTGTTGCTGTTGAGATTACATACAGTAAAACATACCCCAGTTTAACAGTTTCTACATGCGGTTAATCACATTGATTATGTTCAAGTTGTGCAATCATTTCACCCACCTTTTCTGAGTGGTTCCTCTCCTCATCTTTTGTGTTGCTGTGGTCACTTTGATCCCATACAGATCATTCTTAAAAGGTCATAATACTCAAGACAGACCTTCTTCACTAGTTAAGGTAAACTATGGTTTAGTTTTAAGATGACTTCAAGAGCTATCTTTGGCTTAAAGTTTAAAGGTTATTTCTGGACAAAAGTACCAGTTCTCTCAGCTTCCAAGTCTCAAAAAAATCTGGAGTCCACGAGAATTTAAAATTCTGTTTTGCATTTTGCCTTCCCTCCCTTTTGATCAGGATGCTTCTGTAGAATCTTTGATTAAAATGTGCAGTAATAATATCAGGCACCATCCAATTCGTCTGGTGTCATAGAAATGGAGGCAATGAGCCTCCCTGTTCCTGACTCTCCTCCTTCCTCTGTTGCTCTAGGGCAGTGGTTGGCAAGCTTTTGAGACAGAAGAGCTAATCCTGTCCCTCATAACAATTTAAAACTATTTGAAAGCTAGAAATATATTCTTTTTTAAATCTTATTTTTAATCATTTTACTTGGGGCTCCTACAACTCTTATCACAATTCATACATACATCCATTGTGTCAAGCACATTTGGACATTTGTTGCCATCATCATTCTCAAAAAATTCGTTTTCTGCTTGAGCCCTTGATATCAGCTCCTCATTTTCCCCCTCCCGCCCCCCTCCCCACTTCCTCATGAACCCTTGGTAATTTATGCATTATTATTATTTTGTCATATCTTACACTGCTCGACGTCTCCCTTCACCCACTTTTCTGTTGTCCATCCCCCAGGGAGGAGGTTATTTGTAGATCCTTGTAATCGGTTCCCCCTTTCCACCCCACCCTCCCTCCACCCTTCCGGTAGCGCCACTCTCAGCACTGGTCCTGAAGGGATCATCTGTCCTGGATTCCCTGTGTTTCCAGTTTCTATCTGTACCAGTGTACATCCTCTGGTCTAGCCAGATTTGAGGGCCCTGACAGCTCTTATCACAATCCATACATCCATCCATTGTGTCAAGCACATTTGTACATTCGTTGCCATCATTTTGAAAACATTTTCTTCCTACTTGAGCCCTTGGTATCAGCTCCTCATTCAGAAATATATTCTTAAAAGCAGATGAAATCATCATTGTCTGAATGATAGCTTTTAAGTTTTTTCCAATTTTACTTCAGAGCCACATGTACATCCTGAAAGAGCCACCTGTGGTGCAAGAGCCACAGTTTGCCAACCCATACTCTAGGAGACTAGAGACCAATTGTGGAGCTGAGGATGGCTGCTTGCAAGCTTTTCAGACTCAAGGTACTACGTAAGGAACTAGGAGGAAGAACAGACGCACTAAGCACATTATTAGACCCATTCACTGTGATGTCTCATGAAACCATGAGCCTAAATTCCAAACCAAGAAACGAAATCTCATGAAGGCTTTGATTGTACATAATCAGACTCAGCCGCTATTCTTTTGAGTTGTTGCAAATATATCACACAACTTTTGCCAGTTCAATGTTTTACAAGTTTATAGCTTACTGACAGCAGTAACAGTGATCACCTGTGCGACACTACCCTAACCAATGAACGTGTTTTTCCCATCACGCTTAATCCCCCTTTGCTCCCTCTTTCCTGTCCCTGGTAACCACTAAGAAACCTTGGTCTCTAGACATTTGCCTCTTCTTTTTATATGAGTGAGGTCATAAAACATTTGCCCTTTTGTGGTTTGCTTCACTCCGCATAATGTATTCAAGCTCTACCCACACTGCAACATGTATCAGGACTTCATTTTCTCCACTGGCTGGGCAGTATGCCATTGTTTGCATGTACCACATTTTGCAAAAGCCCAGTGGGCCTTCTAAGTGCTTGACTACTCACTGACACATTAGTGGTTCGAGCCCACCCAGTAGCTTCTTGGAAGAACTGCTTGGCGATCTGTTTCCAAAAGATCACAGCCTTCAAACCCCTGTGGGGCCTTGAAAACCCTACTCTGCCACTCGCGAGGTGTTGTTGTTGTTTTGTTTTTACCGAAGACAGACATAGACACTACAGTGGCGAGAATCTGAATATGTGGCATTGATTTAGCAGGTGAGCAATGAGGCTAAAAAGATCACCAAGCATGTAAGCAGCGAGAACACATTTGGCAATGCTGTTGGGTCTGACTTAAATTCCAGGTCATATTGCATGGCTATTGAGGTGACAGTTCTAGGAGGACAAGAGGTTTGGAATGAAGACTTAACCTGTTTGTGGTAGTCTTTTGGGGTTCGTTTGCACCTCACTCTTGCCAATCCATTCAGACTCATAGTGACACCTCTCCCCCCCACCCCCACCCTCCAAAAAAGATTTCCATCTTTTTGGGAAACAGATAGCCTCAACTTTCTCCCACAAAGTGGCTAGTGAGTTTGCATCACTGACCCTGAAGTTAGCAGCACAAACCAGGGGTTTGTTTATAAGCAACACTTTAATTTTACAGGTTTCATGGTCAAAAGTCTGGCAGGTTTTTGCGAGGTCTTGATTAACCATGTCTGGAAGCATGACTGGGAAAGATAAACTCTCTTCTAAGCTCTCTCTGTTTGTTGGCAGAATTTCTT